AAACTTTTCTTCTGAGGTCAGAAACACGGCAAAGATAACTGCCCTCACCACGTCTATTCAACATAGAATTGGAAGTCTTACCCAGAGTAATGAGGCAAGACAAAACTCAGTCACCCACGAGAGAGAGGAAGAAGTAAAATTATCTCTGCACACAGATGACATAATCTTATATATAGAAACTCTTAAAAGAATCCACAAAAAAACCTTGTTACTGTTAGAACTAATGCATGAATTGAACAAAGTTGCAGGATACAAAGTTAACACATAAAAATCAGTTGCATTTGTGTATACCAACAATAAACAACCCCAAAATGAAAATAAGAAGATAATTCCATTTACAATAAAATAAAAATAATACTTTGGAGTAAACTGCTAAGAAGGTGAAGGACTTGTTCACTGAAAACTTTAAAACTTTGCTGAAATAAATTAAAGAAGACAGACAAATGGAAAGACATTGCACATTTATGGGTCAGAGTACTTAATGTTGTTAAGATGTCAATACTACCAAAACAATCTATAGATGCAATGCAATCACTATCAAAATCACAATGGCATTTCTTTTGCAGAAATAGAAAAATATATCCTGAAGTTTTTAAGAAATAGAAGGGATCTTAAATAGCTAAAACAATTTCAAAAAAGAACAAAGTTGTAGGTTTCGCACACCTTGATTTCAAGGCATATTACAAAACTACAGTAATCAAAACAGTGTGGCACTAGCAAAAGACAGACATAAGACCAGTGGAATGGAATGGAAAGCCCAGGCATAAACCCTTGAATGTATGGTCAGCTCATCCTCAACAATGGTGCCAAGATCACTCAATGGGGAAAGGACAGTGTTCAACAATGCCTATCCACATGCAAAATAAGGTTTTTTTACCTTATACCTTATACAAAAATTAATGAAAAGTAGATAAGGGCCCAAATATAAGACGTACAACTATAAAACTACTAAAAGAAGACGTAAGGGAAAAGCGTCACGTTATTGAATTTGACAATGACTTCAATATGACATCAAAAGTACAAGCAACCAAAGCAAAAATGGATAAGAGATCTGCATCAAACTAATTGCTTCCGTGCTTCAAAGATGACACAATCAAAGAGTCCTGGACACAAGGAGACAGAGTCCTGCTCTCAGGGAGTTTCATTTCAGCGGAGCAGATAACCAGCACACAAGAAGCTCACTGGAGCCTCCCGGGAGGGGGTGTGCTCACCAGAGGAAAACAGAGCAGGTGAGAGGACAGAGTCTGTATGACCCGGTGGGAAAGGGCTAGTCTAGATGGGAGGTCAGGGCAGCCTTCTCCAGCGCCTGCCTCTCCCCAGCCACCAGCTCCCTACGTCAGTATGTCCATGTCCACTGGATGTCCAGCAGGCATCTCAAACCTTGCATGTGCATTTCTGACTTCTATCCCCACATCTGTCCTTCCTTTTATAAGTGGTAACTCCATTTCCCACTTGCTCAAGTCAAAAACCATCAGGTCATCCTTCCTTTCACAGGTCTTGTTCAGTGTAGGGCCAACCCGATAGGCTCTACCTTCCAAATACCCAGCTTCCCCCACTTCCTTTGCCCCTTCCACAAGCGGCCCAGATGCTTTCCCCACACCTCCCACCTGGATCTTTGCTGTTGGCCACTCCCTGTCTCTGTCTTCCCTTGCTCCTTCCAAACTCTATTCTTACCACAGCAACTTTCAGCCTTGGTTCCGATCAAATCAGTCCTCTGCTCAAACGCCCCAGCAACTCTCATCTACTTGTATTAAAAGTCCAAGGACCCACAGGACTGGGTACAAGTCCCCTCCTCCTTTGCTCCTTGCTCACTCTCCTTCAACATTCCCTGCCTCCTGGATGTTCCTGAAACACACCAGGCACACTCTTGCTTTATGGCCACTCCTGGACCATCCTCCCCACAGGATCTCTCATTTAATTTTATAAGTAGCCATTCTTCTCTCATTCCCACCTGAGTCCTGGCCAGCTTATTCTGTACCTTTCTCCAGAGCATGCCTCACCAGCTGCAATGATATATTTATCTCGCTCATTTCAATTGTGATCTCTCTTTCCCTCCAATGGGACAAAATCTCTGTAGGTGTTGAGACATGCTGCTTATATTTTACAAACAAACTGAAGTTTAGGGAGGAATCTTGGCCGAGTGAGTAAGACAGGTACCCACTTTGAGGCCAAAGCCACTGGACTTAACTGCTGCATCATGACTGCCGTTCACTCAGCTGTGTGATAAACACATGGAGAACTTCCCTTATGCTGGAACCAAAGCTCGGAAGTTAGGCTTCTTATCCGTCAAGTGCTCCGCTCCTCCCTCCTAGGATATTCTCTCTGCAGCTGAGTCCACCAGTGCTTCCAAGTCAGCAAGAGCTTTCAGCCATATTCAGGGCTTTCTAGATACCAACTGGTCAGGTCCTGACTCAAGTAGGTGTGTCTCAAGTGAAACTCCATACCTTGCCATTCTCCAAATCAGAAAAAGGCTTTGAATTTTGACTAATGTATGGATTGATTTTCTTCTTCTAAGACACTTCATTACTCTTTATCTCATGCCCCATAATATTTAGAGCATTATATCCTTTTATTGATTTAATCTTCACAATCACTCACATGATCATAGTGAAGAGTTTGTCCCTCTCTGTCTCTCCTGCTTTTTTTGGTGCTGGGAATTGATAGAGGTGCTCTATCACTGAACCACATCCCCAGCCCTTAGACAGAGTCTCACTAAGTTGCCCGGGCCAGCCTCAGATTTGCAATCCTCCTGCCTTGACCTCCCAAGTCGCTGGAATTATAGGCATGTACCACAGCACCCACCTCCCTGTTTTAGAAATAAGAATCTAACTTTTCATAACAGTAAAGCCTTTATTACTGGCCACCTCAATAACTACTTAATGTCCAATAGCTATGTTAAGGACTGAATTATATCTCCCTCAAATTTTTATGTTGAGGCCCTTACCCCCACAGTGATTGTATTTGGAGGTATGCTTATAGGAGGTAATTAAAGTCAAATGAGCTCATAAGGGTGGGGCTCTGGTATGACCGGATTGGAGTTCTCATGAGACTAAAAGCTAACCCCTGCATTGTGATACATGTCTAAAGAAGAGGGCTTGTCAGCCCAGAGCAAGATGGTGACCATTGCTCATTGGAAACTGGCCCTGTTGGCATCAGGATCTTAGAGTTCCAACTTCCAGAACTATGAGAAAATATATTTTTATAGTTTAAACCACCTGTCTATGATATAGACTGCCATGTAGGGTCTCCCAAAAAGAGACCAAACTGAGACACTTGTAATCTTCAATAAGGAACAATTTTGAGCATTTAGAAAAAGAAACAGCTCTATGGGATAAATTCTGGTTCTGCTTTTACTAATACCTAACAGCTCTCATGGTATCATTGCTTTCAGATTAAAACCACATTTTTCTTAGGGTTGGACTTCAGATCAATTTACTCCCAAACCCTCTAATTTCCAAGTTACTTTATTCCCCAGCTCTGCCACAGTGAAATAGTGTAGCAATTATGTAACGATCAAAAAGTGTACCATACTTCTCCTCCTGTCTAATCCACTTTTCATGAAAAGCAAGAGGGAAGGGCAATCACTTTCCCTATAATGAGCAGATAATGTTCCCTGCACAAGAGGAGCAAATACTGTAATATACAGGCCAAGGTTCTTGGAAGGGGAAGGGCAAGTATGCAGGGGATGAATGTAGGTCACTGAGAGCTCGGCTCTTCCCTCCTTTCTTCCAACATTCCATCATGTTCCACGTGCTTGACGTATATGTCTCCCTGTGTCGCCCTCCTTTGAATGTCTACATATTTTATTATCTGCACCATGGCTATTTCCATCAATGCTTCCTAACTTACCTGCTGATAGAAACATGTCTCCAAGCTTGTGTGTCCTGTCTCCTAGACAAATGCTGACCTGCAAAATGACCCACAGACTTGTGGCAAAGTGGGCTGGACAGGCAGTGACTGTGCATCTCCAGGAGGCAATTAAAAAGTCCCAGCTGAATGGATGGAGAAGGGGAAGCACTTACTGCGTGGGCCCCGCCGGGCTGGCATGCTCAGAAGGCCAGTCTCGGGTTCTTCCTGCCTGGGCTCCTGCTGGGAGTCAACATGGGATTTTTCTGACACCATTTCTTGGGGGCCAGCAGTTGATAACTGTGAACAGAAGAGCAGAGGTTCAGTGATGCCCAGGACTTTTGTTGGCTTAGTTCCTCGCTTGGGATGCCATGGGTTACCAGTGAGGTGATGGGCCTTAGTGACTATTCAGACCTGACCCCCAAGGCACTGTGCACCCCCACCCCCAAAGAAGCAGCATCAGCCCTGAGTTTTTCCAGGAGGTATTTTATAAATTACCAGGGTATCCCCAAATAAGATGATTATTTTCACCTTTTCTAGGTAAAATGCATAGAACTCTGCAGAAAATCACAATCAAACAATCCACTCCCCACTTCAAACAGATTAGAAACAGCTGCTAAAGTGTCACTGGCTAACCTGTGGCAAATCTTGAGTCCCCACTTTGGGTGCCCCCAGAATAGCCTCCTTTGTCTTCCCCAAACTCCCCGGGGGAGGAGAACAAGTAAGCAGAGTTGGCAATGTTGCCTCTGTGGCCTGACAAGCCAGGGCTTGCCACCAGACAGCCTGGCTGTGGACTTTGGGCAAAAGCATGGCTTTCTCATCTGTAAAAGAAGGAAAATGTCACCGTGTGGGAGGCATTGAACAAAGCACAGCAGTTCCGACTTAAATAGATGACCCGGGGTGGACCTGAGGCTTCTTAAGGAATCCCTCATTTAGGGCTGTGGTATGGGTTAAATTCAAGGTATCGCACCTACAAAGCCGGAAGCCTGGCATGTCAGTGCGGGGCAGGCGAGGGCTGGCAGATGCCCTTCTCCATCCCTGCCCCTTCCTCCTGCTCAGTGGGCAGCCTAAGCCCTGCTGGGTCAAGCTCCCTGTGCCTCTGACTCTACAGCAAAGACTTGAACTCTGCTCATCTGCCACCTCGGTGTAAGGGACAGAGCAGCAGGCTCAATCCACAGGAAAGGGTTAAAGCTCCAGGGTGCAGATCTGGCTGAAAGTCTCCCAGGTCCCCAAGAGTGGCCAGAGACTGGCCACGTGGGCTGGGCATCTCCTCTCCGCCGTCCCCTGTAGGGCTCATCCCAGCCTGCAGGAAAGGGCAGGCGGCTCCTCGGCCCAGCTGGACCAGAGTGGTGTGCGGGGTGTGGGGGAGCCAGGGGGGAGCCTTCTTCCCTGACTTAGCTCTCCCAGTGCCTCCCACCTCCCCTGTCCATCCCTCTTTGGGCAGCACCATCACGTGATTCCTGGCTCAAAATGGCGCTCCCCTTCCCTCCCTCCCAGGCTGGCTTCTCCATTGTTCCAGGCTAGTGTCTCATCCACAATAGCCCTTTCCCTACTGCCCTTCTCAGAGGAGGGCAGCGCCTTACCAAGGGAATTGATTTACCTGGAAAAGGCTTATCTTGCTTGGGGATGCTCCCAGCCTAAGAAGGGAACTCCTGCAGAGAGGTGGGGGAGGGACAGCCAGCAGGCGGAGAGACAGGAATCGGCCTCTGGCTCAGACTGAAGCAGAATTCGGGCTTGGAGTTGGAAAAAGAGGGAGTTCCCAGAGATCTGTAATCCTGCACTGCCATCTACCGCCTGTGCTGGTTTATGGCCTTCAGCAACAACACTAACATGATGGGCTGCTTCCCTGTTTCTAGACTTCTCTCTCAGGAGATTGGAGGAAACTTACAGGGAAAATCTCCGAGTATGGACCATGTCCTGATTATGAGGATCACCTATCTGTAAGTTTCCTGCCAGGGTCCTGTACACTGGACAATCTATTTGCATCCCTGTCTCACTGTTCTCCAGAGTGGGCCCCAAATTGGTACCCCAAAAGGGACACCTTTCCTGGGAAGATTCTGTGGCCCCCTGGCGGGGCCCAGGCAGGTTGATCAAGGGCACCAACATGCAGACAGGGCTTCTCTTCACTTCCTACCAGTTTCTTTCTTGGTCTTTGACCCTTTGGGTTCTTCTTCCGACTTCCCACATCCACATCCTCCTCATTTTCAGTGAGCTCCTTTGTTAAAATGCAAAGGGAAGAGAAGGAGAGTGTTAAGAGAGGGAAAGAGGGGTGTGCTTTTCAAATCATAGTCTTGACCTTGGGCCTCCATCCACTCACGTTCAATGTGAGGGAGGAACGGTTAACAATCTAAGTAGCCAACACTGTCCACCCTTCACCAGAGACCTGTCTTGAAAGTTTGTATCCAAACTGAGTGATTGTGAATGAGGTGGTGTAGGGTTTTCCATGGTCACAGGCCCCCATTCATGCTTATTAACGTTTATTGAGCACTTATTGTGTTCCAGGTCCTGGCAGCACAGAGAAGAAAACACGCTCCCCACTTTCAAAATTCACATTCTAAGAAAGATGACAAAGGAATCTGCCAGGAAGGATGGAGAACCATAGCCCAGGACAGACGTGAGAGTCTCATGGGTTGGTTTTTCTGCTTCCCAACTTCACCAGCACATGGGGAGAAGTAAAAATGCAGTAAATCATTATAAAAGCCCCAAGTTAGAGGATATTTTGGCGGATCTCTTTGAAAAGGGAATATGGTAAATGTCATTCTCTTTTTTTGCACATTATGCTTTCTGAGGTTTTAGACATCAGGTGTTCAACTGGAAGCTCTAAAGTGCTTTTCCTGTTCTATTCTAGAGTTTGGCAGACTGGAGCATAAGTGAACAAGAAGCTGCAAGACAGTCCTAGAACCTCTCTTCCTGGTACCCCAACTTATGAATCTTCGCTTTCTAAAGTTGGGAAATGTTTTGTTTTTGTACTGGGACAAAGTTGCAACACACAACCTGGATTTTAATGATATGATATAAGGTCTCAAATTTCACTGGGCCAGGCCCCAGTGACTCCTCACTTCCCTTGGCTCTTGGGGTCAGGGAAGGTGTGGACTTCAGTTACAGAGAACAGAGCTGAGACCCCCACAGAGAATGGGCTAGGTTGGGGCTTTCCTTAGTGCATGTGACGGATCTCTCTTCCTCAAGTTCTGTGTGGAGGCCTTACCTCTTTCTGTCCTCCTTTCCTCAGGGCTCACCAGATGGGGAGTATTCTTAGCTCCATGATTCACCCTTTTGATTGTAAGGTGGTGATAACATCAAGGTGTGTAAGTATGGTTTTAGATTCAATTCTAAATTTTTATTGGCCGAGAACGGACTTGTGAGAAATCTAGGTCATCTTTCCCTTTCTAATGTTTTAATCCTTGACCAAATGACAAACTGTCCATAGGACTTCTAGTAAGATGAAATGTGGGTCACTGCTTTATCCCCAGGGACAAAACGCAGAGAATATATTTGTTGTACACATGAAGAAACTTATGTGGTTGGTTCATGCTTGATATTTTGCTTAAAGTCAATCTGCAAGGTTTTCTATTGAGCTCCCTCGTGTGTTTTAATGCACTGCACAGGGGACAGCACACTGTCTGCATTTCTGTCTCTGTGGTCTCGAGATGGTGAGCCCCTCAGCCAGTGGAGAAATAAGGACACAGGAATACTGTCTTTCCGTTCAGTGGTCTACTGTATACACAGCTTTCCTTCTCTGGTCTTGGCAGTTAGTTTTTGTACACCACGAGTCAGAAATTGCAAGACTCCTGGGATAGTTTTATTAGCATTATGATCTATCACTGTTACCTTCATTCTGAGTTCTTAAGGAAATCAAGGTGCTTCAGGCAGAGCTGGGCCCCGGAAACAGGTAGTAAGTTAAGCTGTGGTGGATTGGAATTCATGAAATGATGTCAAATTAATTTCAGAGTGTTCAGGCAGAGGTAAGACCCGGAGTGCCCACAGGGACGCTGGCCTCACATCTACCCACCTCTGCACTTCATGCCTGTGTGTTCAATTAAACTAAATTCGGTCTGAGGACACCTGCGTACTTTGAGTCCCTACTTGACAAACTACAACCCACCTTAGCATGTAAACTAATTGAAAGCCTCGGTACCTTTGTAACAACCATCATGGCAGCTAAGCTCAGGTGATCAGACCATGTTCACCTAAGGCAACTCTGAGCTGTGACGAGTCAAACTGTTCCCAAGCTTCGCTTCCATTTTCTGTCCTTACATGCTGCCTGCCCACGTGTACAGGGGGCTCTCTGAACCTTCTCTGGTTCTGAGGTTGTTCTACTCATGAATTGTTCTTTGTTCAAACTCAGTTAAATTTAATTTATCTAAGGCTTTTCTTCTAACACATGTGATAAATGCTTGTTATCGGCCTTAACTTCCTCATACAAAACATCCCAAGGGGCCCTGTAAGTAATGACTTACCTCTGAAATTATTTTTATTTTTTCTTCCCTGGAATTCATTTTGTCTGTGATAGATCTCTGAAGAGAAAGAACAATGAAGAAGTCAGGCATTTAGAAGTCAATGACATATTGTTCTTAACATCAATGCATATGCATTAGACCTTAGGCGGAGAAGAATTTCTGTCCACCGGATACTTGCAGATTCCAGGACTGGTGGAAAGAAGCACCAGAGGAGAAGGGGGATGCCAGACTCCCCTGCCCCCATGACCCTGGCTCAGGGCACACAGTCTTGAAGTCAGATGACCTTGGTTGGAATCCAGCTCTGGAAGGACCACATCACACCTTCTCTCCCTTACACCTTCACCTTTCTATCCCTGCTCACCCTCTGCCCTTGATCTTGGTTCTCATTTTCCTAAGCAAAGAGATGAGATCAGGGAGGGACCCAAATCCGCCTGTTATTACCCACCATGAGAATCAGGTTAGCATCTGCCTGTCACCACTAGAATGTGTTTGTAACCAGGCAGAAACAGTATTTTCTTCATTATTTACACCCAGAGCCTTGGACCACAGCACACGCACAGACCTCAGTTTATATTTATCTGATGAATGCCTAAGTTACTACTGATTGGCTGCCTCTTCATGGCCATGTTCTGGAACCCTTTAGAGCCTTCCTCTTGGTGCTATGAGAGAACACGTGGAGGAACACCAAGCTCAGGCCTAATATCCCGGAATCTTCCCAGGACTTGGTCAGGTAAGCAGCTTGTCTGAGGTGTTCAAGGTCTCCCGGACCCTCCCGAGGAATTAGCATGGAAAAGGGAAAGGATCTGAAATTCTGTTGTCTTCCACACAGACTCCTCACAAGGTATAAAAAGCAGAAGGGAGAAAGGGGAAATACCAGGGAATGATATTGGCCAAATTATATTGTTACAAATAGGCAACGACAAACCTCACCATTATGTTCAACTATGATGCACCGATAAGAAAACCAGAAGAGAAATGAGAAACTAGATCAGGGGGAAAAAAAAGTTGAGAGGGTAATCAATAGCAGATGAATGGGGACTGCTAAAGGAAAAGAAAGCTCTCAATAAACTGCTCTGGTCATTATTAACTGGAAAAGAAAAAAGAACTGTGAAGTATTTTAGCACGTAAAAAATGATTCTCTCTAAATAAATATATTACACATGGAAGAAAGAAATAGATGTGAAAAATGTATCGGGATTGTTTTTTTCTACACATGCTTTCCTGATCATTACCTTTGAATGTGTTTCTAAGGAAATCAAATGACACCAGAATTTATTTTTCTCATGAACACTGTTGCTAAGAAGAGATAAATCCACACCACTCAACTTTAACATGCCACTTATCATCACTGTTTGCATTGGGCACTTATTAATATATTCTTATTGGCAACATCAAAACAGGACCTGTAATTTATTGCACACTTATTTTGTGCTTTCTTTAGATATATGTCCTCTTTATTCCCTACAATAACTCTGCTGGCTTAGTAGTACATGCCCCAATTTATACAAGAGGAAACTAAGACTGATGTGTTTTAGGATTTGCTCAAGGTCATAGTTATTGACTGTCACACTCAGAATTTGATTGGGCAAAGGAGGGATGGAGAGCATGGGGGCAGGAAAGATGGTGGAATGAGATGGACATCATTACACTAGGTGTGACGCTACACCGTGTACAACCAGAGAAATGGAAAGTTGTGTTGCAGTTGTGTACAATGAATCAAAATGCATTCTGTTGTCATATATACCTAATTACAATAAATAAATAAATAAGAATTTGACCTCAAGAGTGTGATCCAAAATCCTCCCCATTCGCTGCCACCTCTGTCTCACCATTTAGTCTTACTTTTGCCATGTTATTAGTAACTACTCTAGGCTAGTCTATTATTCTGGAAATATTTACCATTGAAAGCTGTGAAGCTTTGTACAAGCGATAAAGGGCTTAGGCTATGTTAGGTCAATGATTTATTTCACTCAGTGCAGAAAACCAAACATTTTTCAAGGGAAGTACTAACACCATCATCAGAACAAATGGATGGTCCCAATCAAATGGATGGTCCCTAAGGGTCATCAGCAGACTATAGCTTCATCCTGAGGACCTCTTGGGAATCCTATAGGGGGCAGGGAAAGAAATGACATGACGGCATTGGGAAGAGACAACATTGTATATTATCTGATATAATAATATATTATCTGATTACAGTGAAACCCTGGGTTTACAGAAAAAGTGAGACCTTTGTAAAAAAATTCTATGTACCTGTGCTCAAATGCGAGCTCTACTGAGCAGCACGTGGTCTTAGAGCAATGCTTTTGCTTCTCTCTAGAATTGTGATCCTGCTTCCTCCCTTGAAGGGCGACTGGTTTATAGGGACTCAGTGATAGATGTCTAGAAAAATGCCTAGCGAGGACCAGGCTCTCTATTTGGGTAGGTTTTAAGAAGAGGTGGTAGGGGGCTATGGCTCAGTGGTAGAGCTCTTGCCTAGTATACTACAAGGCTCTGGGTTCAATTCCCAGCAAATACACACACACACACACACACATGCACACACACACAAATCAGAAAAGGTGATAGTAGAGAAGGGATGTGAAAGAAATAAGTGGGAAGGGAAAAGAGCTTAGGGGACAGAACCCTCTGTCATAAAAAAGAACTTTGGAGACAGTGAAGAGGACAGGAGATGTCACATGCACCTCTTTTGAATCTATTATCAAGTTCTGTAAGTTATTCCAGCCATGGCTTTATAAAGCATAAAGTTAGTGATAAATAGTTTTGTAGAATCATTTAATCAGATGAATTTAATCTACACTGCATTCAGAGCATGCATGTACCATATGTGTGCTGGGCTGTGTGGCACGTGCTAATCCACTGAAGTGCTGGAAGCCCCTCCCTGGCAGGAGCCGGCTTTGCTCCAAGGCTTTCAGCCTTCCCACAAACTGCTGAAGGCACTCAGCTCCTTGTGCTGCTTATTACCTGTTTATAGGGCTGTCTTCCCAGCAAACCCCCAGCTTCTGACCCAGTCTAATTCATTTTTGCACACTCTCAACTTAAGCCATGGCTTGGTGCATTGTTGATGCTCCATAAATACTTGAATGAGTGACCTTATAAATGAGCTCTAGGAGATATGTATAGAGCGATATTTCACTCTGCCAGTGAATTTCTTGGCAGAAAATTTTTATAAAAAAATGTGATAGCAGACGTGTATTTCCCCGTAGACTTTATTAGCTTTTCCTAGCACCTCTTTGCAACAAAGGGGAACAATCAGTTGAAACCAAGGCCAGGGAATCTTCCTGAGGTCTTTTGGCAGGCACGCAATCCTCAGCCCTGTGGCCGAGTCCTTTCTCGGTCCAATGGCAAGAAACGTGAAACTGCCCATAACTAGTACTTGAACCAATTTGAACTAAAAGGCCCAGAAATGCAAAACCCAGCAAATATTTTGTACAGTGCTGGTCAGAGAGGATTTCCACTCAGGGATCCACGTGACTGTGATTAACTGGATTTACATTTCCTGCAAGCCAGACACCAGACAGCAGCTCAAAATCAAAGCCGCCCGTGTAATGCTCTACATTCCTATTCCAGAAAGTGCAAAAGCAAGCAGTGACGAGAGCCCCTCCATTTACAATTAATTCAATCCACTCTCCATCTCCCGGTAGCCATGGAGAGACAGAACGCAGAACTCCCAGCCGCAGCCCTGGTCCGGTTAGAAACTGGTTTACCTTAAGCAACTTTACACAAGGCACTTTGCAGATTCTGCTTTCTGGGATGGAAGGCAAGTGGAGGAGATGGCCTGGGTGTGCCGCCAAATCTTCTAGACCAGGAAGGGCCGAGTGTGGGCGAGGCTGGGCTGCTCTGGGAAGCCCGGGAAGCTGCAGCCAGGCCTCAGGAGGAAAACACCAGCTTAGCAACGCGTTCCCAAGGAAGGTCATTGGGCGGCTTTTTTTTTTTTATTTTAAAGTGACAGTTTACTTCTAGTTGAGGAATCCCAGTGCAGTGGGAATGCAGAGGGGCGCAGCCTACAGTGGGACACAGAGAGATCAAATTAGTGCTGAGGTGACGGAAACCCATGTCTCTAAGAACTCTACCCTTCCTCCTGTCATTTGACTGTCATGCATCATCCCTAAAGGACAGATGATGCTCAGAGCAGGGGCACTAAAAGGCCCCAAAGGGTGTCTGATTCAGAGCAGCAAAATGTTCCTTCCTGGAGGCACTTCAGGGCACCTAAGTGTTGCCCTGGGGGGATTTGGGGCTACATTGGAAGACTGAATGCAGGAGGGGCTTAATCTCTGCTTATTCTCTGACTACAATTCCTGAAAAGGTGATAAAGACGCTATGGCTTAAAAAAAACAAAAATTGGAAAGCAGATGGAGTAATGGAATAAGCAAATAAACAGACCAGGGAAAGCCACAGTCCAAGGACACTCCAACACACACATTGACTCTTCTCTCTCTCTCTCTCTCTCTCTCTTTTTTTTTTTTTTTTGATGCTCTGGCATTTGGGGCCCTGGTCCTGGAGAGATTGATTCCCCCAAGCTAGCTAATTTCTAGAGATAGCAAATTAATTTCCTGAAATAACGCAAACTCTCCTTTGGTATACCAACCAACCAATCAAAACCCACACTTCCAACCATTTCTTTTATCGAACATTCATATCAAGCCAATATTCTTCCTGTTCTGTTCACACCAGGGCCGGGTACAAGCCAACCAGGGACCCCCTCTGCAGTCCAGAGCTCATGGAAGTGGTGCCAAACTCACCCAGCCTCTCCACCCTGATCCTGCCACTCCTTCCCAGAAACCTCAGGAAGGCCCTGGGCCGTCCTCTGCCCTCTCTCTCTGTGTCTTAACTTGGTTCTTCCCTATGGCCCTACAGGCATGTGCTGGGGTTTGAACCTGTCCCTCCATCCCAAAGCAGGTGTGGGAAACACAATTGCCCTGTGACCACGTTGGGAGGTGGCACTATTGAGAAACTCTGCCCTCACCCACCCATGGGTGCTTTATGGTGGCAGTGAGCTCCTCAGGGAAGGACGAGTTCACCCCCTCTTCTCTCTCCCACTCTCATCATCTGTGACACCACAGCAGGAAGAACCTCCTGGGATACCAGCCCTTGATTTGGGCCCTCACAGCCTCCAGACGTGTGAGAAATACATTTTTGTCATAAACTTCCCAGTATGTGGTACTCTGTTGCAGCAGCTCAAAACAAACCAAGACACCACGATGCTCTTCTAGGGATTGGGAGAATACACTGACCATCATTTCCACATCTTACCGTCTCTGACTAACAGAAATTCAGAGTATATTTTTTAGCACAGTGTGCATCTATGGGTGACAACTTACTCATGTGCTGTGTATATCTCTGTGTGTGGTGAGTATCTGTGTGTGTGTAGTGTGTCTGTGTGTGATGTGTATCTCTGTAGCTCTATATCTCTATGTGTGTCTGTGTGTGTCTCTGTATGTGTGGGATATGTGTGGGTGTGTCTCTATGTGGTGTGTGTCTGTGTATCTGTGTTGTGGTGTGTCTCTGTGTTTCTGAGAGTGGTTTGTGTCTTTGTGTGTTGTGTGTGTGTGTGTGTGTGTGTGTGTGTCAGAGAGGTCCATGGAGGCATGAGCTGGAGATGAGCTCTCCCAGTCTGCAAACCTTCCTGGCTCAGCATCTGAGCTGTGGCATCAGGGGCTGAAACGTGCCCTCCCTTCCCCAATGACACGTTGAAGTCCTCACGCTCAGAACCTCAGGTTCTGACCTGGAACTTTATAGATTGGGAGACAGGAACTTTATAGATTCAATCGAATTAAAATGAGGTCATTAGGGTGGGACCTACTGCAAGAGGATTGTGTCCTCATAAAAGGGGAACTTGGATACAGACAGACCTGCGCACAGAAGGAAGATGGTGTGAGGACACAGGAGAAGAGCATCTCCACCAGCCAAGGGATCCCGAGGCCACCTGCAGCTAACAGAGGCCTGGAGCAGGTCTCCCTCACACCCCCAGAAGGAACCAGCCCTGCCAACTTCTGGGACTTCTAGTCTGTCTTTTTAAGCCACCTACTGTGTGGTACATTGTCAGAGCAGCTTTAGGAATCTAATAAAAGTAGACACCAAAGAAAGTGGGGAGAATTAGAGGCACAAAGGCAGGACTATTGGAAAGTCTGTGTGTGGAGGGGCTCCTCAGCACCCCTTGTCACTGGCATGCCCAAACTCCCTCATGCCTCACCTGCTGCCACGGAGACTGGGGGTTTCTTCTCCAGGGAAGCCAAGGCAGACACTTTGCAGCCTCAGCTTTCCAGATAGAGCAGCGCTGGGTGATTCTCAGGGCTGGCAAGCAAATGTCAGAAATGGAGAGACTGGCGGCCCCTTTTTAAGTCCTTCTCAAGACTGTAGATGTCCAAACTCGGACCTCTGGCCCCTCCATCCCACCTCTACCAGCACTGAATTGGAAAAAGTGGGAGACTTTTACTGGAGAAATGGAACAATCACAGAGATGGACCCCAGGTGCTGACACTTCTGGATTCTCCAATGAAAAAACTAGGTTTCCCTTACAGGAAAAATTGAAGAGTCTCATGCTGAGAGTCCCAATGACTCATGGCATTTTTGCCAGAAGGGAGTGGTTGAGAGGTAGCCAGCAAGCCATTGAGATGATAATGGTTATGTGAAGCTGTGTATAATAGACCCCTGCTGTCCGCCTCAGCCTGTTACTTTGGAGTTCTGGGGGGGGGGATTCCCGGAGAGTTCCCATTGGTTGGGGAAGTGCCAGAGGCGGGATTTGCGGTTGATGTGGGGTGTGCCCGGAAAGGAGCCGCGTGGGTGGCGTTCGGGAGAATTCCCGGGGAGCGTGTGTGGAGTGTGCTGGTGGAGTTCAGAAATAAAGTTTGTTCCTGCTTCAGTGGCTCATGATTTGTGCCCAGCCAGACTGCGCCATTCTCAGGTTGAGAAATTCAACACTCATAATTATAGAAAAAAGTAAATGGAAAGGAATTAAATAGAATT